TTAAGCTGAGGGGTTTGAAGTGTGTATGTGTGTGTGTGTGTGTGTGTTGTACACATTATTTAAAAAACATACTGTAGGCCCAATCCAATTTTGACTCTTCACACTCACACAAAACTCCTGAAAGATTACTGAAGTTTTCGGGTTGAGCTGCAAGTGTGATCGCAAGCAGACAAATCTTTCCTCCAGGATTCTTCTATCCTGCATCATGGTCTTCTGCATAAAGTCAGAGTGAGCTGATGTGAGAACGCAGCAGGAGAATTTTCAGGTAGGAGGGGGCGATGACGTTTTTATCCTCCGATCATGTGCAAACGACCGATACGTCTCCCAGCACGTAATGAAACTCCATCATCCTGTTTTCTTTTCAGCAGGATGTCAATCTCTGCTCTTTTTTTTTATATATTTGGAACTACATGTGACACTGATATAAAGGGAAAACTTGTCATCATGGCGTGGGTTTCTGTTGCGCCGTCTGGTTCTCTTTATTTCATGTACGGCCTCCTGAGACCCCTCCTCTGGTCCCACAGGGAAAGTCCCCCTCTGTGACAAACTCAGTGAGTAACTGAGGGGCAGCCTGAACAAGGGGAAGTCTGCAACAACATAAGAGTTGACGTGACGAGATGGAAAAAGTCAAAGGTTAACCACAAAGTTAATCAGTGCTGTGGTTATTTATTCCATGTTTGTATTGGGTTGTGTGGATTAAGTTTTGGCTTCCTTGAGACAGCACAGAGACGGAAAATTGGGATGAGAGAGAGTCAGGAATGGAACCACAGGTCAGACTCAAACCCGTGTCCGCCCTCTGATCTGTAAATGGGGCGCGTAAACTAACCGCAAGGCCACCCGTGCCCCGTCGCTCGAGTTGTTTGTGGTCATTAAATATTCCCTATGCATGAACAGTTTATCTAAATACACCCTGTAACATAAGAAACACATTTATACACCGAAGGTTGAACATTTTTTCTCTCACTCTTTAATGGCACATCTTGTCTCCAGGCAGGAAATTATGTCATAAAAGTGTGTCCCATTCCTCATTTCTTAACCGTCTCAAGCCCTCTGGGACTCGGTTGGATGTCAGTAAAGTTCAGTGTGGAGATGAGGACTGTGCATCGATGCAAACGCATAAAACACACTTCATCTCTTTCATTTAGAAACTGCTTTACATTTGAAAAGAAGCTTTCACATTCAGCTTCAGTTTCTCTTCTGCTAAGTAGTAAAAATGTTAGTGTGGAAGTCTCTCCCCCCCCCCCGTCCCCATGAAGACAGTCGTGTTGCTGCACGCTCAAATTAATTCATAACCTGTGGGGATTCTGTGAAGACAGCCTGACAGCTTTTTAACAATACCGGCCTGTTGTAGCAGAGTCTCAGCTGAGTATCTGTCATCCTCACACCGGCCTGCACTGCACCACAGCCCTGCTAATCCCAGGGTTTCCTCTTCTCCTAACTTAACTGGGAGAAAATGTCATAACAAAGCTCTTTCTTATCGAGTGAAATCTTCCCTCTGCTTGCATCACATCATCACAGCTGACATCGTCACCTATCGTGCAACAGATGCTAATAACGCCCCCTGCAGCCTCGAAAATGACCCGACCTCTCTTCTCTCTTTGATCTCAGAGTCTCGTCTCTGAGGCGAGTCAGAGCAGGCGACGACACATCTCCCCTCCTCGTAATGACCCCGTCGTCTTCTGCCCTGCTGACAATTTCAGGGACAGCTCTGACAGATGATACCACAGGTACACCCAGGTGAGAACAACAGGCTGACAGAGTCATGCAGACGGAGCCCGACTGCCTGCTGCTCAGAGTTTTTGTAGCTGGTCCCAGTGGGGGGAAAAAACTCAGAGAACTGTTTCTACTGGGAGTCGGAACACGTCTGCTTAACTCAAATCTCTTAAGTGATGTTAACATGGCTTGTGGTTATCTCCACATCCATAACTGCAATGCTCTCCTGTGGACATGGAGTGTTGCCATGGCAATCACAGGCTAGTTAATAGATACCGCTTCCTGTTTCTGGCGTCGTATTTGCTCGATATTGTGAGTTGAAGTCTGAATGAGTGAGTTCAGCCGGAGGTTATCATGCTAACTTGTTGTGCATCAGTATAACTGATCACAAACCTATTTAAAACTGTCTTCATTCAAATCCAAACAGCGTCAATCTGAGAGGTGATGAGCCGCAACAGGGGATTCTGTGCCCGTTGAAATCGTCTCTGTTCCTCAAAAATAAATAATCTGGCAGACATTCATCTCTCAGTTTCTCTTCAGCCTCTTGCATTGTGCTTGCATCAGACTGCAGAAAGTTTACAGTTTAGAGCTCGGCTGATATCAGCAGGCGGAGACTACCTGCCAATAAGTGCATCAGGTAACACCGATGGCAGATCTGGACAGAGAAAGAAAAGTAATTGTTTCTTCTTCAGCGTCCGTTTAAATTGTGCTTTCTGTCTTATTATTGACGTCCCAAACTCTCATCATCGGTTTGTTCTTAAACTCTCACAAAAAACCTGCAAGACTAAAAAACTCTGACATGAATTTTGGTATTTTTACGGTTAATTCATACAGTTTCTTTGATTGTTCTTGCACTAACTTTAAAGTCGAGCTCACCTGATATCAGCCGAGTAAAGTGTTAGCCAGAACTGACTTACTGCAAATATCTCATTGCAAATATCAATTTTCCAATATTAATTGGAACAGGAAGTAAAGTTATTTTTCTCAATTCAAGTTTGAATAACGCAATAATTTTAATTTGAAAATGATTCTTTTTTTAAAACTATTTTGGAGGATTGAATGTGTCACTTCAGTGTCACAGAGGATCGTGGAGAATATAAGAAACCGGGATGAGAGAGTAGGAAGGGACGGGATGACGTGCGGTAAAGTGCAGAGGGTCGGAGTCAAACCCTGGCTGCCCGTTTGGAGGACTAAAGACTCCGTGCCTCCTGTCATGGCGTGGGAGATATTGCTCCATTAAAGCGAGGTCAGCTTCTTTCCTGAAATCAACACAACATGCTACTTATTTAAAGTTACCTTTCAGACCTTTATTGCTGTTAGTAGAGAGGAGAGCTGTGGACATGTTGGGAGGAGAGAGTGAGGGACGACGTGCAGCAAAGCAACGCTCCGACTATGACTTTAGCCTCTGAACATGGAGGTCGCTAGGCTATCTGACGCCCCCAGAACGCCCCCTTTTAAATCTTTGTCGCGTTACTTTTGATGTTTTCATGCCTCATTTTAATTCTTGCTTAACTTCTAACACAGCTCAGGTGTCTGTCAGCGATGCTCTTCTTGTTTTTAATGTCTTAGGAAGGTTTTTAAATAATAACGTGTTTATCAGGAAGGTTATTTATACATTTATTTCTGTTCTCTTTTTGGCACTCTGTTAGAGAGAAATGCAATATGGCTTCAATGTATGAAAGTTTCAGAGAGAAGGAAACGACAAGCAGATAAACGTAGACACACAGGATGCTCAATATAACCGCTAAGGCTATCCAGCGCCTCAAAAACAAAAAGGTTAATACTGATCCAGCCTTTCCTGTATGGATGCTGCCGTCTGCATTAGTATTTGTTCAACTTGAACGCAGAGACTGAAGTTCTCTTTGTTATCATTTCAATCACATACAAGAACACAGAGCAACGACACGTTGTCCCTCCAGGACTACGACGCTGCAGAGGGGGTAGAATTTTAAATATGAGGCAGAAACATGAAAATAAATGAGGTGAGAAAAACAGTTAGAGAGGAAGAGACTGTGTTAAAAAAAAGATCTCTCAGAGCGTGTAGAGTGCAGAGTGTACACGGTATATAGGAAGTACAAATATTGCCATAAATCTTACAAAGAAGCAGGGGCGTCTGAATATTTCCAAATGAAAAAAGGTGGATTTAAGACGCACTGTTTAACTGATTTTAAATTCTTGCAGTAGCGTTCATGTATCTTAATATGTTGAAGATTCAGGATCATGTAGATACCAGGGCCTGTTTCACAATGATTGATCACAGTGGGTTTGAACAGAGGACACCATCAGACAATGTCTGCTCACTGCAGCTCTCTGCTTTATGGATGAAGTGAAATCAGAAACCACAGAAGAAGTCATTGTTTGATAATACAGCTCTGATATTAAAATGTACTGCTGTCAAATTCTATTTTTTTTTTTTTTTCCCACTTTAAAACATCATGTCACAGCACGTTCACCGATTTTGAAGGAGTACTTCCCGCCCAAAAAAGGCGGTGATATATTCATCCCTGGATATTATTCTGAATGGTCGATCAAATCAGGCTCTTCAAACCTTCATCTCTGGATGTTTTCAATAGTCCGTGTGCTGTGTTGATGCATAATGAAGGTAGAGAGGTGAAAATGAGATTTTATCTGTCTTAATCTCATGGTTGCTCATTAAAGGCTCTCCATATGCATTCATTAAAGGGGCCACCTGAAGAGCAGAGGGCTGAGAAAGTCTCAGCTCCTTACAAGAGACCTTGTTTCCCTTCAGCCACACTGTTGCTCTGCAGACCGAGGACAAATTTTCTGCCATTCCTCTAATGTCAGTAATCACACCTGCGCTCTGTATATGCGCCCCATTTCCCCTACGCCACTTTCCAGCAGCCAGGTAAACAGAGATTACAGGTCAGCCGTGTGGGATGAAGGGTTTGTAGAGGCTCAGGGAGGATTAGCTCTCCCTGAACAGTCACCTGCCGTCTGAAGCTGCGAGAAATTAGGACAGAAAGCACAAATGAGGAGAGCCACACCTCGCGTAATCATGGCGCACAGAGGCTCCACACACGCACAGCAGGCAGTGAGCTTCGATAATAAACTTTTTAATACAGCTCGGACAGTGAAAAAAAGAACACACCGCAGCTTGAGAGGCGGTAGAGCCGGAGAAAGACGCGGCACTCCCGGAGCGAGGGAGGCGCGGCTGGAAGTACTCAGGTCAGCCCACACGCACTCCGGGGCGCGCAGGAGTGGAAGTGGAGGAAATATGAACGGGGTTTGGTGGGGATTTAAACACCGCTCGGGTCGGTTGGTCTTACCTTGAAATGCGAGGAGGATCGCCGCCGCCGCCGCCAGCCAAGTCTTCCTCACCGGAGAGAGTGAGCAGCGCGATGCGTAATCTCTCGCCATTCTTCAGAACAGGAGACAAGGTGGACGTAAATATCCACAACCAGCGAGGGGACACCGGGCTCCAAAGTATTCCTTCTCCGATCGGAAACTTCGAGATCACTTCAAACCAGCCAAGTTACAGCCTCTGCTACCTTCCTCTACTAATGTTTGCGTGTTCCTCCGCACACACCGCACCGGGTTGAGTTACTGTTTCTCTTTCTTTCGGTGCCTCAATGACAGGAAGAGTGAAACCCCTCCCTGTGTGGGACGGCCGCAGTGGCACAGGTAGCCCGCGGCTGCTCGTGCGTCCGTGCGCGCGCTCGTGTGTGTGTGTGTGTAGCGACGGTGCCTCTCGGAGCGATGTGCAAACAAAGTGTGGACGGAGGAGTGTGAGAGAGTCGGTGCAGCTCCGTGAGTGTGTGTGATGCGGAGAGCTGAGTGGGGAATATCAGAGTGATGTCAGCAGAGCGTCACCAAGAGGACTCGAGCCGTAATACTGAAACGCACACACACACACACACACACACACACACACACACACACACACACACACACACACACACACACACACACACACACACACACACACACAGAGTGAGCAGTCTGACTGTTGGTGCAGGAAATAAACACACCGCATACCTGCGCGCGCGGAGGAATCTGGGTGTGTTCTGCTGACACCTGCCGCTCGTTTGTGTGTGAGTGCGCGCGTGTACAGGTGGGGAAAAAATAGTTGCAGCACATATTTTTAACGTTTTTCTCTCGATAATATACCATAATTTATATTGATTATCATTATTATCATTATCATTATTATTATTATTAATAATAATAATAATGATAATATTATTAATTAATATTATTATTAATTAATTAATATTATTAATAATGATAATAATAATATAACCAAAAAAAATATCTCTTTTTTTTTTTTTTTTTTACCAGGAAGTCCCAATGAGATAGAAAACATGATGTTTAAAGAGAGACCAGGCTAAGCTAGCAGCCCAACACAACCACAAACACACTAACATACAATATAACACAACATGAGACAATTAAAGTAATCAAATAAAACATAAACAACACTACAGGGGAGGAATCACAAACATGAGTGAAAAACCACCACATGCCGCTGTGACCACCTTTGTTTAGTCTTATATCAGAGTGTCTAACCGGAGCTCTTTTTAAAGATTATGCCATGCCCACCATATACAAAAATATTTAGAGCTCCCCCTGCTGACTGGCTGCAGTATACGTCATAAACCCCGCCTCCTCCATGTTAACAGATGGGTCAAAGTAGAAAATCAAACCAGGATTCTGTCGTTAAGGTTAACTTGCTGATTTATGTCCTAGTGTTGTTTTTTTAAGTTTTGTTTTGACTTGTTATTTAAATACAGAAAAGACAGGATATGACATCATGATTGACAGCTCTGTTGACAAATGAGGCTCCCTGCAGTGATCTCGGCCGGACAGAGATCACTGCAGAGCAGCGGAGAGAAGGTGAGAGAAGGCATAACGAAAAACTAACTAAACAGTCGTTAAACTTTCCTTAAATGTGAAAGTCTGCTGCTGATAGACAGAACTTAATGTCGTGATGTGGACTACCTGAGGGATCTGTGATGATTTATCGTTAACTTAACGTGTGCTCCGGTTCATGGAAGTGGCTTGATGTCAGCTAAAGTTTTTCTAAAAAGTTGCTGACTTTGTCAAACCAAGCAGGAGGAGAAGTAATGAAATGGAGGCGGTAGCGAAGTGGTGGCTCCTTTTCAGCATGTCATTCCCCACTCTCTCTCTCTCTCTCTCTCTCTCTCTCCTGATTTCTGACTCTATCCATCGTCCTGTCTCTAAATAAAGGCTTAAAAAGACCATAAATAAAAAAGCCTTAAGAAGTAGTAAAATGTATTCAAATCAAAGAAATGCAGCAGCTTCAGATGGTAAAACTTTTTGAATCATTTATTAAAAAAATGATTCCTGCAAATCACGCAATAAGCAATATTATTTTTTATTATTGTAAAAAGACTAAAGCCAAGTCTCTAACGACGTGTGAGGGTCCACAGAGACGTTAACACACACACACACACACACACACACACACACATACACACACGTCCCATGCAGAGTCTCACGTTGCACAGATCGTCAACAGAAAGCCGGCTCGAGTTTTCCAAGAAGGAAATAAAAAAGAACTTAAAAAAACATTGAGCTCATTACGGGGAAAATGGAGAAAACCTTGGGAGAGGAAACTCAGAGACAGATTCCTCGTCTGCGTCTTATGAAAACAGATAATTAGCTTCTTAAAGAGAATAATTGACTGAAAATGATAAAAAGATATTTGTTACATTAGGAAGAAGAAATGCAGAATAGAAGAATAATCCAACATAAATCAGATAAATAACATCAATAAATTAATTACGACACCCGCAGAAGTTACAATGTTTATCCACTGTCGTCTAGATATTATAAATTGAGATGATTAATGTGAAACTTCAGAAAGACTTCACAGGAAGTTCACCAGCAAATAAAAATCCTGTTTAGATGTACGGAGGCCCTAAGCGGACACACAGCCATACATTTTATTTTACTCCGTTATGATAACGAGGACATGTTGGTGTTTCACTCAACATCTTGATATATTTATCTTGTCATCTCGGGTTACCTCGTGATAACTAGTGAGCTTCTGGAGATCTTCAGAAAACGAAAAAGTTAAGTAAAAAAACAGCATTGTTACCCTGAGATATGACCCCAACAGGTGGCGCTAGACACTCTGCACTCAGTTGATTGGTCGAAAGAATCTTCACGGTAATAAAGGACAAACACAAACAGCGGCGTGTTTAAATATTCCCATGGAGCTGACCCAGCTGTGGTAACGCAAGCAGGTTCAGGATTTATCGTACCATACCAGACCGCTTGGTACCGATAAAGTTTTTTTTTTTTTTTAATCTGACGTGATGGAGCTGCAGGAAAATACTGGAAGTTCATTTCAAGACATTTTGTTTACCCATTTAGTCTCAAAAAATGTTTTTATTAGAATTCAACAAAAAAGTGCCACGGCAGGCCTGTAGGTGGGGCTGTGACTTTTTAATTAAACATGCACAAACTGCACTCTCCCTTCCACAGAGCGGTGAGAGGTGAATCTACAAGAATAGTGACGCACACAGACGATGACGTCGGGTTGATACTCAACGTGACCCTAAACAATAAGGCGAGTACATTTCAAGAAAGTGTTGACTGGGAGTCGCGGGGAGTCCATTGTTATTGTAGTCCACCTACTCGTGCGTGTTACTGACTGTAAAATGTAATGTACATGTACAAAAACGTTTCATTTTCAGGCACCCATAACACCGTTGTCGTGTAAACGAGCAGCCCAAACACATCGACAGGTTCCTGTTTTCAGCTGAGATCGTGGTCGAGTTAAGAGAGCCTGAAGAACGCTTGTTCTGTTCGATGGTTGCCGGTTTTAGATGTTGATGTTTGTTACAGAGCTTTATGTTTCCTCAGAGATGTCTCTCAAGGCATATTTCTCCCCGGGGACGATAAAGTACATCGAATGTGATCTAACCTAAAGTCAAAACTCAAAGTTACACATTCTCTGAACAAGCCTGAGATCTGGAGGAGTCGAGGAGCTTCTGTTAGTTACTTTAACTTTAACTTTAAGCAGTTTGATTGTTTGATGGAGAGCTGCAGAGTAAAAATATGACCTCTGCTGCTGAAACTTCTATTAATCTATTTTTTATGTTGTTTATGTGGTTTAATTCACAGCCCGTCTCACTCATGTGTTCGGTTTCATCCATCACCACAAAATACAAACGTACAGTAGACGTGCGGAGGAGAAATTGCTCACATAAATTTGCGTTTGCAGCGTATAAAAGAAAGAAGCGTTCAGGGACGGCCGGGTGGTTTAAGCCTCTCTGGATGGGAGCTGTTGTTTACTTTGTTGTCCCCTCCACAGAAACAGTGATACTGAGAGGTTCATAAAGACGCAGATGTTTCAAATGTGGAGGAGTTGAAGTGAACAAACAGACAGAGCGCGCTCTGAGAGGACGCCGTGCGTCTGTTTCTGGACGATAAGAGCGAATCTTTGAAGAATTTAAGTTTGTGTTCGAATGAGAAACCGAGCAGAGAGACACAAACACATCTTAGACTCAATTCTGAGTTTAATGTGTGAAAGAGAAGGAGACTTTTTACTGCACGCTGAATCAACTCTGCACAGATCACTACAGGAGGAACTGTTTCTTTAACAGCGTACAGAGTGTCTGACACTTCATTTACATGAGACATCAACCAATAAAACACTTTATAGTTTATAGTTATAGTTCACACCTACAGTATACTGAATGAGTTTATTCAAACAGAGAGGATCATGGGAACAGTAGTTTTTCTGTCTGCTTTCAGTTGGACTTTTTTAAAGGGTTAGTTTAACCAAATTACTTTTATTTTCAGACTTAAAGCTCCTTTTCTCACAGCACATCATCCACAAGAGCATTCCTCCTCCTCTTCCTCTTCCTCCTCTTCCTCCTCCTCCTCTTCCTCCTCTTCCTCTTCCTCCTCCTCCTCCTCCTCCTCCCCCTCCTCTTCTTCCTCTTCCTCTTCCTCCTCTTTCTCCTCCTATTCCTCCTCCTCCTCCTCCTCCTCTTCTTCCTCCTCCTCCTCTCCTCCTCTTCCTCCTCCTCTTCTCTTCTTCTCCCCTCCTCCTCTTCCTCCTCCTCCTCCTCCTCCTCCCCCTCCTCCTCTACCTCCTCCTCTTCCTCTCTCCTCCTCTCCTCCCCCTCCTCCTCTCCTCCTCCTCTCCCTCTTCCTCCTCCTCTTCCTCTTCCTCCTCCTCTACCTCTTCCTCTCCTCTACCTCCTCCTCTTCCTCTTCCTCCTCCTCTACCTCTTCCTCCCTCTTCCTCCTCCTCTCCTCCACCCTCTTCCTCCTCCTCTTCCTCCTCCTCTACCTCCACCTCTTCCTCCTACTCTTCCTGCTCTACCTCCACCTCTTCCTTCTCCTCTTCCTCCTCTTCCTCCTCTACCTCCTCCTCTTCCTCCTCCTCTTCCTCCTCCTCTTCCTGCTCTACCTCCACCTCTTCCTCCTCCTCTTCCTCCTCTACCTCCTCCTCTTCCTCTACCTCCTCCTCTTCCTCCTCCTCTTCCTCCTCCTCCTCCTCCTCCTCTATTTACAACATTTCACTGAGAAATAACACACAGACTCCTGCTGGTTTGTCTGCCCGTCTCTGAAACCTTCCTCATAATGCATCCACCATTTTGCTGGGTGGAGGACCCGGCCACCCACCTCTCCATTATCACCTCATTAGCGGGCTGAAAACTGGCCCACCCTCCACTCTGGCTCCAGTCTCAATCAGGACATTAATCACAGAAGAGCGGGGGAAACCTTCTGTGCTCTGCAGGCCCCTGCTGTGCGTGTGTGTGTGTGTGTGTGCGTGTGTGTGCTTGTGCGTGTGTG